TCTGGTCCAGCAAGAGCTGGTGGGACACGGAGCAGCAGGCTTCCCTTCTGTCAAGTGGGCCACGAGGAGCTGCCGGAGGAATGGCCCCTGGGCCTGCGTAGCGCTCTGCCCCAGCGCCCTGCGTCTTCCCTTCCTCTAGGGCCTGTCCCACTTTGTGGTGAAGTGCGACAGCCTCGTGACCACCACAGGCATCGCCCCCGGTAAGAGCATCCCCTACTCGGACCACGAAGCCGTCATCGCTACGCTGTGCGTGAAGAGACGCCAGGAGGCCAAGGGCTTGGGCGGCAGCGCAGTGGGTGAGTGCCTGGGCCCCTTGACGGGGCGCACCTGACTCCGGGAGGGCAGCCCAGCCTGGAGCGCTGGGATCTCGAGCACCCCCAGCCACGTCAGGCGCGGTGGGGGGGCGGCGTCCTCCGCAGGAAGGAGGCCACGCTAGCAGACGGGAGAGCGCAGGCCAGTTGACCAGGGCGAGCACGTGCCCACGGCAGCAATCCTGGGAGATGTTCGATCCCACAGCCTGCTCGCCTCCGTCCGGCTTGCACCGGACACGACCCCGAATGCAGAGAAGCCAGCCGCAAAGCAAAGCCCCATGGGATACCTGCCCAGATTGCCTTGCTCATGCGCGCGGCTCTGTACCGGAGCAGAAAACCGAGCCCGCTGAGGACTGTACGTGTCGTGGGCTGTCCTGCAGGCACCAGTTAGTGGGCAGAAACTCCATGCAAATTAACCCTCCCCCTGGAGGCCTTGGCAGCCATGCGAGCACCGTATCAGCACGGTGGATTCCTTTGGGGGCCTAGGGCTGTATGCGGGGCGGCCCAGGCGGCTGGGGGAGCCACCCCCTACTGCAGCTGAGCCCCCGTTGTCTCTTGCAGAGCCGGAGCTGGTGGACGTGGTGAACGAGGCCCGGACGGAGGTGAGGGTAGGGCTGCACGCCGCCGAGCGCCAGCGCTACACCAACGGCCGCATGGCCATCCTGGCCCTGCTGCTGCTGCTGCTGCAGGCGGCCATGGGCCTGAGCTCGCTGGTGGGCTGGGATTCCCAGCAGCCTTTCCCCAAGTTCTCCTTCTCCCTGCTGAGCCTGCTGGCTACGGTGGTGCTGCTGGTCTCGGCCGTGCTGTACGTCTTCCACACCATCGAGGTGAGGATGCTGCAGGGGACGGAGGAGCAGATGAGGCTGGCGCTCCAGGCGCTGCAGGACAAGCTCGGCTCCTTGTAGGACAGCGGCGGGGTGTCAAGGGACCAAGCAGAGCCTAGGTGCTCCCTGGATGGCGCTGCCTGCTGGCAATAGCTGCTCCGGAGAGCCGGGGCAGGCAGGTGGGTCCTTTGCCTTTGATTGCTCCACACACTTTTTTATGGGTTAACTTGATTTTTAAACAAGCAGCATTTGGTATCGGACCGATTGCAGCAGGTTTTACAGAGCGGCCCTTTGGGCTTCAATAAAACCTTTCTGAACAGACGGTTGTGTTCGCCCTGTAAGAAACAGAGTGCTTTTAACAGCCCACGGCAGGGGGAGCCGTGGGAGAGCTCTCGGCAGTTTCATAGGACAGAGCAGAGTCTGCTTTTCCCCTCTGCAGAAACGGGGACTGTAACACAGTCAGAATTGTCCGGCTGTCACTGAGGGTTGCTGGTTGCAACTGTTGTGCGTGTAGCTTTAAACCAACTGGCTCAGATCCTGGCGCAGTGAAACCTGAGTGACCACCCAGGGTTCTAGGCAGGTGCGAACAGGCAGGGCTGCTCAGGTGTGTGGGCCTGAGCTGCCGTGCACCTCCCATGACTGTAGCCAGACCCCGAGTGTCGAGTGGCTCCGTCACGTGCACAAGAAATTTCCTAACGTCCGGGCCGGGGAGCCCTGCGGTAGCGTGTCCATGAAGCACGCTGCCGTCCTTGGGACCACAGAGGGGTGGCTGGGCTGAGGGCAGCCAGTTTTACTGCTGCCTTTCAGAGTAGCCTGTTTGTGTAGACGCTGCCGTAGCAATCTGAGCTGGGGGGCGGGGAGTGTTTGGCAAGGGATCCCCAGGGGTTCCAGGTGGGCAGAGCGCCAGGCCCCTTTGCGAACCAGAGCCCTGTGGTTAGACACGAGTCTATCAGTCCTGGCAGGGTGGTTCTGAGAAGCTCTCTTGCAAAGAGGGAACTTAGGAGCTCATGGCGGAGCTCGGTCTGCCGCGCAGGCCCTGAGGCAGGACCTCAGGGAGTGGGAGTGGCAAGGCCTGTCCCGCCATCTCACAGGGTGTGTCGCTGCGCTGGCGTCAGAGGAGTGGCGTGGGCGCTACAGCCCCGCTCAGGAGGGGTAGCCCAAGGAGCCAGTTTCCCTGGGCATGATGCTAACTACATCCAAGCGAACTCCACGCCCCCCGAGTGCCAAAACCCAGCCGTTATCCCCTGCCCTTCCACGCTGGCTCCTTGGTCTTTTCCTCTTCGAGCCTCCTGGGGGAGCCTGAGCCCTGCTAAGCCCCACCGCGTTCCACTGCTGCCAGACAGGCGGGACAAGGTGGGTGAGGTTTAAAACTTTTATTGGACCAATTTGAGTGAGTGACAAGGCTTTAAGCTTCACAAAGCTCACCCACCTGGTCTCTCTAATGCCCTGGGGCCCACAGGGCTACAACACTGCATAGGAGAGCGAGAAGCTACAGGGTGCTGTGACTGAGGGGACCAGCAGGAGGCGCTGTCCCTGTGACTGGAGCAGAGCAAGGCCCCCCTGCATCTCTTGCTGTAACCAAGACATGCTCCCGGGGTAGGGCCTTGTGTACCTAGAATTCGCAGGGGCGCTGAGTGAACTGTAGCAGCGCTGTGATTGGCTGCAGGGGGTGCGCCTGGTTCTCACAGTCAGTGTGGTGCAACCAGCCTGCCCCTCACTACCCTGGCTTTGCCTGCTGTCACTTTAGTAATACCGGTAGGAAAAAACACTACCCGGAAACCGGCAGGTCTGGCACCCTTGAGCGCAGCAACAGCAAACAAAATGTCTCGCAGGCCACGCACAGAATCCCGCTGGGCCGCAGGCTGCTCACCGCCGGCTCAGACACTCCCCCAGTGCTGTTGGGGG